CTGGCACGGGGGGCAGGGGGGCGCCGCTCGGGCAGGCGGGGATGGTGAGGGGCACTGGGGGGCCGGGGAGTGGCGCTGCGACAGCGGCGAGTGCCTCTGGCCTGGAAGAGAAGCAGGAAGGACCGCGGTGGGGGGAGAGAAGGCGTCAGAACTGGGGGAGCCATGGGCTTGCCGGCGCCCACCCGCTCTCCTCGGAACGCGGGTGAGGAAAGAGCCGGCGGCGAAGGGAAGGCAAGCGTGGCCCCAGGACGCGGGACGGTAGCCACAGCTGCCCCGCTCCCTTCGGACCCAGCTCCCCGGCCTCCCCTTCCCCGCCCCCCATCTCACCGCCGCTCCGGGCCTGCTCCTGCAGCAGAGTCCTCAAGATCCTCCCCTGCAGGGAACTCAACTCCCGCAGCCGGCCCAGCTCCTCTGTCAGCTCCGTGTAAGCCAGCGCCAAGTTCACCCTAAAGGACACCCCAGCCCCCGCCCCCCCCCAGGCAAGGCTTGACTCCAGCCGGCCCTGACCCTGCGGTCGGAGGGCACGGAGTGAGGGAGAGAAGGGAAGTGGGTGTACTGTCCCAGCTGTGGACGGAGAGCTGGCTGTGCCCCAGTCTCGGGCTCTCCCTTCCCTCCAAGGCCCTCCTACCCCAAGGGCAGAAGGTCTACCTCAAACACCACCTCTTCCAGGGAGCCTCCCTCTCTTCCCCGTGAACCTTACCTGGGGCTAGGGCAGGGGCTGGGGCTGGGGAGCTCAGTGACGCCAAGGGGTCCCTGAATCCATGTGCTCACCAGGGACTGCCTATGGCCCGAACACATCTGCCACACGTGTGTGTGAATGTTTTCTAATCTGTGCAGAAGCTGTGCTGACAGATAAAACAGATTCATCCAAAACCGGCACTGAACTTACAGTCGCTTTAGTTACTGTGAATTTTCTCAAAGAGCAAATACTAAAAGTGTTTAACTGCAACCCGTGTGTTGGGGGCAGGGGGTCCATGAGGTGTTCTCAGCTTTGAAGGACTGGAGACCCGTGCTCTACAGCCTAAGAGCCCCATCCCGTAGATGAGGACACGGCCTTCTGGCTTGCCAGAGGAGCCAAGTGACAAACTGGAACCCAGGTCCGCCAAGTGCCAAGTCCACTGCCCTTGCTTCTACCTCAGAGCTGCCCCTGAGCTTTCAGTCTCGCACCTCCCAGAGTCTCCAGGGAGCCCTTCACATGGAGAGCTTTGTGGGCAGCTGCTGTCCCGCACACCTCCAGAGGGTGCCACCCACGATAAGCACTTAGCAGAAGTGGCATTGTTCTGGAACTGCCCTGGGAGTTCTTCGAAAGGGAGCATTAAGTTGCTGTATCTATATTCCCAGCACCCTGTCCAGGCCTGGCACCCAGTAGATGTTCAGGAAGTGAAGAATGAATGGAGCCTCCCCATCCATTCGCCTTTCTTCTTCCCTTTCTTCCTCCCACTTCCTCCTGGGCACCCACCTGCACGGAGCTGGAACAGGCTCTGAACTTAGCAAAGACTTCACCCACTTCCTTTTCTCTTCCTTTCTCTTAGGGTCACTTTGTTCAGAACTACAGAAGGTTCTCTCTCTCTCTCTCTCTCTCTCTCTCTCTCTCTCTCTCTCGGCACTGCCCCTCCCCTCTCCCAGCCTGGGCTGCACCCCTCCAGGGAGCCCCTCCTGACCTCACATGCCGCTCTGTGGTCGCCTTGGTTCCCTGCTTTCACCTCTGTCCCAGGCTTGGACATAGCCTGGGAGGCAGGGGTTTGGTTTCATCGGATCTCCCCCCCCCTTCCCAAGTCCAGAAGGGACTCCTGAGCTTTGTGGAAGTTGGAGCTGGAGGGAGGTGGCAGGGAGAGGCTCAGCCATTCCAGATGGATCTCCTCCCAGGGGAGGCCCTCTTGCTCTAGGAGCTGTAGGGTGCTAGGCATGAATAGGGTTGGGGGGGGTGTCTCCAGACCCTGAGGGCCCTGTCTCCATCCCAAGGTAATGGTCATGGGAGAGAGGATGCATGTGGAAGGGAGGGAGTGAAGGTAGGAGTGAGCCCAGTTGAGTGTGAGGGACAGTGTGAGTGAGTGAGTGAGTATGTGTCTCTGACCGTAGAGGAGAGAAGGGGAAGTCTTGAGGTTAGGGCTTCAGAGGGCAGGAAAAGCAGAGGTGCAGAGGGTAGATAATGACTGAGCTCCTTCACTCTACACTCTCTGCTCACTGCCTGGTTCTCTCTTGCTAATCCTGGGGCGAGCTGGGTGATGGGGGGGCAAAAGCCCCTCCCACAACAAAACTATTTTTAACCCATTTGGGCCAAAGCCAAATTATTGCAAAGAGGCTGGGATTCTGGGGGACAAGTCCACTTCCTAGGAAGAGAGAGTGCTCACTCCCCATCTGAGGGTGCACAGGGATGCATGGGAGCAGAGAGGAGGGAGTCCTTCGGGGAACCCTGGCCGAGGTGCTGGAACCTCAGTTCTATCACGTCTCAGCTCTTATGTGATGTGTGCTGTGCTCCCCCATCTTCATCCCACGGGTCTGTGGGAAGAAATGGCATCGCCCCCATCACACCGGAGGGTGCAGCCTGTGTGTCCCACATCAAATTGGGGACTCCCCAGTGACAGGCTCCCCTCTGAGTGCAGGAGCTGTGTCTCCCCCATCAGACTGGGGGCTTCGGAGGCTCATGCCGACCCTCAGTGGCAGGAGCAGGAGGGGGCGGCTCTGAGCAGGGCACCGACAGAGTGTCCCCCTCTGACAGAGCAGCGGGGCGGCTGCTAGTCCTCTCCCCATCCGCCTTCACTGCTGTATCTCAGGTGACAGATACAGGTCGGCGCCTTCACACCCCGCCTTGGAGATCTCACCTGCCACACTCAGTTCCCAAGCCCCTATCTCTCCCCTAGTTGCCTTCCTTCTCTTGTCAGGAGCTACCCCAGTTTCCACCGCCCTGTTCCTGGCACACTCCTCACGAAAAAACAGGTCAGCAGGAAGCCCCTAGCCCAGAATGCCCAGCCCCTCTCCCAGCTCTGATCAGGTGCAGGGAGGAGGGCATTGGCGGAGGAGTCCCAGGCAGCCTCACAAAGACCTCTAAGTCCCCAGGCAAGGTGGTGGGGCCGGATCTCTAGACGTCCCATGGCCCTTCCGGACCGCCCCTTTCATCAAGCATCTCTTCCTACCTCAAGACGCACAGGCCCGGGCTGCTAAAGATGCTAACGACCTGAATGACTCACATTAGAAAACACTGCCAATTCAGTGGAAAAAAAATCTCAACTTCACAACACAACCAAGGCTTGCACACGTGCACCTGAATGCACATTCCATTTCCTGGCTTCCCGGCCCACACCTGAATGCTAGTCCCCACCATCACGACTGTTTGGGAAGCATGGGTCAGGTGAACGGCAGCAGATGGCTGCTCTGGGCACTTCTTGATTGCTTAAATTATGGGGGGGAGTTCTGTCTGCATCTCTCAGAACCTGGGAGGGACCTAGGGAGAAAAGAATGATAGGTAACCTTGAGGAGGGCTTACCACGGGGCTGGGCATCATGCTAAAGAACGTTCCTGAATCTTCAAAACAACCCCACAATGTGGCCACTCCTGTCTCCATGTTACAGATGACAGGACTGAGGCTTACAGAGTCATCAAGCCTAGGAGCAGTGCAGGACTGGCCCCCTGGACTCTAAGAAGGTCCAGGCTACTAACCACTAAGCTATGTACTGCCTTCCAAGAGGATCAGGAAAGTGGGGGAATGGGGGCTGGGAGGGGGGCAGAAGGGAAAGATGAGGAGGAGGAGGAAGCTGGGGAGCTCCTGAGCACCACCACCCATGCCCTGGGAGGGGAGAGGAAGGTGCTAGACATACATGGAAGATCAGAGCTATGAAGAAGCTGGCTCAAGGTCATAGAGCAGTGGTGGCACAGAGCAGGGACTCAAACCTGCTCTTGGCACCTCAGCCTGCTGAGCTGGCACCTTCGGAGGAGCCAGAGAACAAATGGCGTGCTGGCAGGAAGGAGGACTCCCTCCACTGCAAATCTTCCCACCCTTCATTGACTTATCCTTCCATTCATTCCACGAATAATTCAGGGATCTCAAAATTTCATCTGGAAACAATAATCTTCACTGTGATTGATAAAGCAACTGAGATGAGGAAGGTCAGGGACCGAAGCCTCCCTCTGTAAAGGGGCTCTTTCTACCCCAAACCAGCTGGGAGGCACATGGACTCGGCAGCGCCTTCCCCAGGGAAGTTCACTGGGGGTCCATGCTGGGCTGGCCACAGGGAGGGCCAGCACTGAGCCATGGCTTTGGAACTAGGAATGGACTTGAGGTCAGGATTAAGGCTGGGGTCAGAGTCAGATTAGGGCTGGGGCTGATAGTTCATTTTCCAGCAGGATTGTGGACATAGCTGGGATCAGGATGAGGGATAGGACTAAAGTCAGGGATGGGATCAGTATTAGGGTAGGATTGGCGTCAGGACCACACAGAGCTGGTCGTGTGATCAGAATCACCAGCTGACTCAGAATCAGGAGGAAAACAGAAATCCAGCATTCCCAGCCCTTCCATCTTTGCCCAGAGCTGCCCCCAGCTGCCCCCAGCCACCTCACCCTCGTGGGGGAATTTTGGGACCAAACTTTCCACCACCCACACCCAGCATCAGTCTTCCCGCCCGACCCTCGGGGAGGGAACCACAGGCACCGGGCCGTGGAGCGGACTTGAGGTCGCGGGCCAGGGGCAGGAGGAAGTCGCTCTGCAACAACCCAGTGCTCTACCACTTCCTTTTAGGCGCCTTGAGCCCCTTCACTCTCCTCGACCAGCTATGACTTGCGGTCCACAGAGCCTGGCTCTTCATGGCAGCCCTGCCATGCTCCCAGCACAGCTAGATGCTTGCTGCGTCTGGAAAGCTCCTGAGAGACAGCCACACTGAGCAGCTCACGCCGGGGCTGGGGACCAGAGTGCCTGGGCAGGGGGGCATGCATCCCAATTGGTCCAGGACTAACCTGGTTCACACGAGTTGCCCCAGCAGAATTATGAAGATTTTTGAAATGCTAACATATTGAAATTTTCACTTTCAAAACTGACCAGGTTTGGTCAACAAGTCATCCGATCATCCCTCATAGAAGAGCCTCCTACCTGAGGAAGAACCTGAACCAGAAAAACACCACAGAGCGGTACTATCGCCCCATCTGCTCAGGACCTGCTTGGTAGTCACACTTAACTTCTCTCTTAACTTCTCCAGTTACTTAACTTCTTTGTACCTCAGTTTGCTCAGCAGTAAAAGGGGACAATACCTTCACATCTTCGGTGAGAATGAAATAAGAGTTTGCAGGTAAACTGCCTCACACAGTGTCCGGCCTGGACGAAGGATCGGGAGTGCCCAGGAGACAGGTGGAGGAAGAAAGAAGGTCGTTTTGATCCTCTTTTGGAGATACCAGCTCAATGACTTTGGTTTAAGAATGAGGGGAGGATGTGCAATTTCCCATCGAGGGAGACAGTGTGGGTAAGAGCTGCTCTCAGCCTTCCCGGCAAGGAAAGAGTCAGAGACAGATTCAAAGCCCACTGATCCCTCAGACCACAATGAGGAGGGAGTGCTGGGAGCCAACTTCAGAGCTGCTCCCCACCCTCGGGGAGTCCCAAGGCTGCAAGTGCTCAGGGGTTAATTCCTGTGAGCACCCCTGCCCTGGCTGGAGGAGATTTGAAAGAAAGGAAGTAGGGAGGGTGAGAAGTGTGAAGGGGGAGGCCCTGGGCCTGCTGGTTCTGGGGCATGAGGCTAAGTTCAGGGTACACGGGGGTCTCCGACTTCCGTCCTGACCCACCCCACACTGCCCTTGACCTCTGTGCAGAGTTTCCATCCTCTCTCTCCGAGTTCACACTTCTCCCCCACCACTAACCGCAGCCCACGCAGAGGCTTGTGGGCGGAGAGAGGGGTGTGGGGCGGGGGGGCGGAAAAGGGCCAGGGCTGCAACACTGAGCCCCCCACGTTGGGAAAAAAGCAAGCCCTATAGTTCTCTGCCTCATCACTCATACTGAGCCCCCATCTTCTCACAGGGGGGCTCCCATCCCTCACTGCACCCTCACTCCCTTCAACTGAGCCTGCCCACCTGAGCCCTCAGCCCCCTCAAGGAACCCCCACTCCACAATTTCCCCTCCACTCTCAGCACTAGCCATGCCCTCAGAAAGGCCACCCTCAGGACCTGTGACTCTGAGCTGGGCTCAGAGGGGAGGGGGGCTATGGGTTCTGCAGCCCTCCCACCCTGGGCTGAGACCCTCCGGGGTCCTTACCTCCCTGTGCATCCTAAGGAGCAGGCTGGTCTCCACTCCCACCCTCCCTCATCATTGTCTTTGGCCCCTGACTGACCTCCAACAGCTCTTCCTCTGGTACAGTCTGTCCCCTGGGCACCAGCCACCAAGCGCTGGGCTGACCAAATAGCAGGGCAATCTTGCCCAGAGGTGAGATCTGGAGGGTGGCAGAGTGGCCTGGTCTGGTCTGGATGGCCACTTTCAGAGGAACACTGATGACCAGAGCAGGTGGGCTGGGGGCTGGGATGGGAAGGACTGGGAATCCTTGGGGCCAGGGCTGCCTCAAAGGCCTGTCCCCTCAGCATGGGTAGGACCCCTGGGGGGAGGGGGGCGGGTAGGATTAGCAGAGGCAGTGGCAGTATAAGGGGGCATATTTTAACAGCCAGGACCCCCACAATAAAACTGGCTGCCCTGGAGGTGTCCAAACGGAGACAGGTAAGTACCTTTCAGGAACACACAAGACTCCTCCGGAGGGCTAGCCTGGATCCAGGAATTTCCCTGACCCCCATGTGGATAACCCAGCCCTGCATTCCTCTCCTGGGAAAGCCCACAGGTAAAATTCCCACTAGCCCGGAGGGTCTGGACAAAATGGAAGGAAGAAGAGGGGCTCGTGGGGGAAAGTGAGCTGAGAGCAGGTGACTGAGGCCTCCGGTGGAAGGACAGGGGAGGGAGCACTAGGGAAGCAATTACCAAAAGGAGCTGAGTTTATAAGAAAATAAAACTGCCGGGGGAGTGAGGACTTCCTCTGAGAATTAACTCTTGCCAAGCTGGGGCTGTCCAGAGATGCTCTGCATGAAAAGAAGTGTGAGGCTGGGCAGGCAGAGCCTGGCAGAGAGGTCCAGGAGGCGCCGAGGCAGAGTCCCAACCATCCAGGGACGGAGGGGAGGAGCCGGAGGTCACCTCTGGTAAGAGTGGCTCCAGCCAGCCTCTGGCCAAAGGGCCTGGGTGGGGCAGGCGCCTCGGGTGGGAAGAAAAGGGGCTGTCCTGGCCACAGGGGCAGCATGGACACTCGACCCCCACAAGCGCCTTATGGGAGGAGTTCTCCTTCACTCACTCACTTACAGCCTTGGCCCCCTGCGATTGGATCCGTTGTTCCTTCTCTGGCCTCCCACCCTTAATCACCTTCCTCCCACATCTCTCAGTAACGAGTGACCTCTGAGCCCAGGACAGAAACCTGAGGCCGCAGAGGTACCAGTAAAGCAAAGCCACTCAGCATCCCTGGAAGGATTCAAAGCTTTGCTGTTCCAATTCCAGCCCTGCCAAAAAAAGTCCTCTCTCTGGATTCAACCAATTGGAGGGAGCCTTCACTGCTGGTCGGCTAAGAGGGGGTGGGACTCAGTGAGCCATAAAGGGCCCTACGCTGTAACTTTTGAGGCAGGCTAGGCTTCTAGAAAGTGTGTGTGTGTTCTGCGTTTGGGCACATGGGTTAGGATGTGCCCAGACCCACAAGCTAGGGCGGACACGCTGCACAAGCAGCCCCGAACCCCCTCCCGGCAGCCTAGTGAGGGGTCCCACCCACCAGTCCCACAAACTGGGTTCTCATCCCCCAGCTGTCACAGCTCCACCCAGGCCCTCACATCAGGGTGCAGAGGGAGCTGAGGGGTATCCCCAACTGGCCAGAAGCTGGGAGGAAGGTGAGAAGGAAGCCTGCTGGAAGGAGGATCCCTGGGGTCCTCGTGCGATGGAGAGTTAGTTCCTGCCCCTCTCTGGGCCTCGGTCTTCCCCTCCAATGAAAGTAGGGATTCTGTGCCACACGACTGGCTTCAGGGGAGAAGGCTTAGGCGGAAGGAGGTTTGTGCTCTGTTTCTCAGAAAGCGGGAGAGGATGAGTTCAGGGTGCGGATGTGAAAAGCACCAGGCTCGCTGCTGTCAGGCTGCTGCTCGCCCTCTCCCTGACTGCCCAGTGCTGCCCCAGAGGACCCCACCATGAGACTCCCCACCGACAGAGCTCCCTCCCTACTTCCTGCTGCCCTTCGTTCCCAGCACGATTCCCAAGGGACACCCCAGCAGAGCATGTTCTAACTCCCCTCCCTGCTGCCATAGAACTCGAGTAAGCCCCTCTTCATCTCAGCCTCAGCTTTCTCCTGAGACAGAAAACAAGGCACCACGAATCCTGAAAGAGACCACCTCCTTCCTCCTCACCAGGGAGGGGACAGCCAACCCAACTAACTGGCCCTCTTACTGGGACAGAAAATGGGGCCCCAGAGAGGCCCAGAAGCTCACCGGGGGACACAGAACAGAGCAACAAAGCTGCTGAGATCTCTCAACCCCTGACACCACAAGGAGGCATACGCTTGGGTGCCAGAAGAAAGCAAAGGGAACATCCCAGAACGCCACCTCCTTCCTGTGAAGCATGCAGAGCCACACAAACAAGCCAAACCCCACAACCCTGATGCTGGAAGAGAGGTCCTACAAGCAACCCAGAGCAGGGGAAGTGAACCGAAGGGGGGACCTGGGAAATGCCACCCCCAGGGCACAGAGGTTAAGAGGGAGAGGATTTCAGATGTGACTTACTGATCATCCCCGACTCTTTTTACCCACGCCATGTCCCGCTCTGACTGGTTGGAGGCAAGATCCTAGGGAGGAAGACTGAGGTCAGATGCCAACAGTCACCTTGCCCGGACCCCCCACCCCTTTACCACTCCCAGGGCCAGTCTATACCCAGGGAGGAAGTCCTGGGCCTCTAAAGGCTATTTCCAGCAGCCCCCAGGCCTCCATGGAGCTCTGGGCAGAGTCCTGGGCTCCGGTGCCCCTGCCGCTTACCTGGGCCCTGCTCTCCTGCAGCTGCTTCAGCTCCCCCTGCAGCCGCTCGCACTCAGCCTGGAGCTGCTCCTCCCGAAGCTGAGCCCCCCGGGCCTCGCCCTGGGCAGCCTCCAGAGCCTCTTCCAACCGCCGCCGCTCCAGCTCACTCACGCTGGCTGCGGGGCCCGGCCAGCCTGCTGGCAGGACAGAGGATAATGTCAGGCTGGGTCCAGCTGCTGGGCATCCTCCACTGACTCCCAGACCAGCAGAGACTGAAACAGGTGAGCACCACATCAAGAGAGATCCAAAAGGGCCAGCCAGAGGCCAAGTACCCCGAGATGCCTCTACTGAGGTCTATGAGGAAGGATGGCCTGAGCTGCTTCTTCTAATCTTCCCGCAGGCCAGGGACAAAATAAGAGGGCCTCATGAATCCCGGGCCACATTCAAATCTCCAAGCATCCTCTGGCCTCTGCTAATCACCACCTAGGACAGGCATGGGGACTCTGAGTGGAGGTGCCCTCTGCTGACACACACGGGAACTGCATGGAGGGTAGCGGCGGTGGGGGGGGGGCGGAGCGGGTGGCAAGGGGAGGGGGTGTCAGTGGGAGAAACTGGGTAAGGGAACAGGTGGCAAAGAGGGATAGGGTAATTATGGGAGAAATTTAAGACATTATAATGGGGTGTTGACTCTCAATCCCAGAAGGGAGAGGTATCCAATGATGCTGAAACGGAGGTTAGGCTTGGGGACTTTGGGCTAGGGACAACGGGGGTCAGGGAGATCTCACCGTGACTCAGGCCAGATCCCCCTCTCAGTGCCAAGTAGTGCAGGTCCAGATCAGCACATGGTGGGGCAGGGGCAGGCGGGGGGCTGGGGCTGGAGAAGGCGGCGTCCCGGAGGCCTTGCTGCTGCTGCAGTTGCTGTTCCAGGCCGCAGATCTGCCGCAGGTGGGTCTCCACCAGGGCCCGCTGCCGGGACAGACCACGGGGTGGGGTCTGCACAGGACCAGGGAACCCCTGAGGGCCCCCCAAGCCCAGGACTCCCGCACATCTGGGAAGCCATCCCCCCTACACCGAGCCGAGACCCCAGGTCACACATCCCGGCTGCACTCTCAGGGGCCAGGAGTGTGAGGTCTCCCAGCAGCTGCAGTGCAGATGCTTCTGCCCGTTGCCCCTTGCACGGTCAGTGTTAATGCCTCTTCCCTGTCATGAACACACAGGACACTTATAAGACCACACGGCCCCCTCCGTCCAGGCACACCTCCCCAACAGAAGTGTAACGACTTCTATTCGCCACTCTGGGCTTCACCCGTCTCATCTACAACATGGGGACAGCCACACTTACCTCGTGGGGTTGTTCGAAAGACTAAAATCAGTAAATGTATCTAAAGAGATCACAGCGGTGCCTGGCACACAGTAGGGGCCGCGTAAGTGTTTATGATGATTAAGGCAAAGCATTTTTACACAAATGCCCCACAGTGCAGCACTGTGGTCAGCGAGTGCCCTCTTCAGAGGAGGGACAAGGCTAAGTGACGTGACCCAGGTCACAGGTAGGAGCTGGCCGAGACGGCGTCTCCTGACTCTGACGCCCATCCCCCTGCTCACACGCGTGGCCATGCCCCTACCCAGAATCGCACACATGCCGGACCCATCCCAGCAGTCACAGAGACCCGATTCCCTCTGCCCTCACCCACACAGCCTTCCAGGCACAGGGCCAGAGGCACAGAGTCAACCCAGCACGAGACCCAAACACGCGCAGAGAGACACGGCGTCTGCAGGGTCACCGAATGGCCAGGGTGTGCCGGGAGTCACTCACAACTGGTATGACATACTCAGCCCCACTCACGAGGGCGACGGGCACTCAAAGACGCACAGGAACCTACTGGGGTCCACACCACAGACACACACACGTGGGGTCGCACACCATCACACCACAAGGGTCACACCCTCAAGCACCCCCAGCTCCCTGGGCCTCACCATCTCCCCCAGCTCTGTCTCCAGGTCGCTCTTCTCCACGCAAAGTTTCTCATAAGCCTGGATCATCTCCCCAAGCTGTTCTTCCTGCTCCTTATTCTTCTGCAACTGGATGGGGCCCGGAGGGAGTGGAGGGCACGCCACAGTCAGGTCCATCCTTGACGTGGGGGCCGAGCAGATCCCCGTGCCTCCCCCACACACACATCCAGCACCCAGCGGAGGGGTGGGCGAGGCTGCAGCCCATTCTAGGGAAGACTGCAGCCATCTCTGATCAAGGAGACAGAGCCTGGGGGTCAGGGGCGGGAGGGGTTAGAAAAACACTGGAGCAAGGAGCTCAGGGAGCCCAGCCTGGGCTGGGAGGGCAGCAAGGGGCTCACCTCATGCTGGAACTGGTTGAGCTGTTGCTGTAGGCTGACCTTCTCCATCTCCAGCAGGGAGCCATCCTCGATTTCATACAGAGAGAAGCCGTGCTCCTCTCTAAAGTCATTGATCAGCGGGTACTGTGGGCAGGCAGGCCCTCAGGAGAGCTGTTGCCCAACTCCCTGCCCAGGCTTCAGGCCTCCACCCCACAACCTGCCTTGAAGTCTGGGTCCCTCCCTCCCCTGCTCAAGTGGGAACCACAGGACCAGGAGGCATCTCCCACCAACCAGATCTTGTTTAGATCCAAGATCCCACCCCTTTGGCCCTTAGGATCCCTTCCTCACCCTTCCCATCCCAGCCAAATCCCTCACGGGAGACCCTCAAGTTCCCAAGAGTGTGGATCCTGATCCCTCTTTGGGATTCCTGGGATCCCCAGTTCCTGCCCCTGGGGAACCCCCACCATAACACACACACAGCCAAACCCCCATCATTTCCAAGTCCTGACCTTGATCTCATAGACTTTGAGACGGCGGCGGAGGGTGGCATTCTCCCTCTCCAGACCTCCCATGCGCTCTTTAATGTCCCCATAGGCTGTGATGAGGGCGAAGTGGGAAGCGGAGCACATGTCCCCCCCCAGCGAGGGGTCTCCGGGGGCATCCAGCCACACCTCACTGGGCCCCAGTGCCTCCTGGGTCAGGATGCTGATGTCATCGTCAAACATGGACTCCATGGCAAGGGCCCGGGCCTCGGCCCCCACTGGGCCTCCTGGGAGAGCAGGAGCAATGGTGGAGAGGGAAGCCTGGAGGCTGTCCCTGATACCCCTCAACCTGGCCCGAGGAACACTGTGGCCAGCCCGAGAGGCAGCTTGGAAGCTCCCCCCCACCCCCGTCTCCCCCCAGACTAATAAGCCCTATCTTCTCTGCTGCCTTTGAGGTAAGGGGCTGGAACCAGCTAAAGACTTGGAGGGAGGGGGGAAGACAAGTAGGGACAAGTAAGCCAGGCCAGCAGCAGGGAAGGGTTCCTTCCAGAACCCAGGGAGACCTGTGGACAAGAGAGGACTGCCTTCCCAAGTCAGGGCCCAGCCGGGGCTGCCTTGACACTCCTCAACCCCTCTCCACCCCCAGGCCTCGCTTCCCCAAGTACCTCTCTGCCAAGCTCCTCATCCCAGGCCGCTGCACCCCGGCTCCTCCCTAAGGCCCAGTGCGTCTGGGAGAGTCAGCCCCACCACTGTCAGGACGTCCTCTGTGGGGCCCCCGCCCAACTTCCCAGCTTCTTCCTGCAGGATCCCGGAGTTCAGGAAAAGGAAGTACCTCCCCCACTCACACCAGCGCTGTGGCAACCCTCCAGGCCCTCCTCGTCCCTGACCTGGGACCCACAGGAAGTCCTCGCAGAGTGTCAGAGGGAACACACAGTGCGGAGGGGGGGTCCTGGGAAGGGACCGCCAAAGAATTCCCTAGCCCGCCAATGTGCGCTCACACAGGGAAATGGGGAGCCCTGGGAGGGGGCAGGAATGACTCAGGGCTCCGAAAGAGTAGGCGAGGGGGTGCGTGTGTACTTCTCCGGGCCCTGTTTATGAATGTGTGTCTGTGGTTGGCATGTGTGGGGGGAATGTGTGTGTCTGTGAATGGGTGTAGGTGTGTCACAGTCAATGAGTGCCTTTGCAGGGCTGCGGCTGGGGGTCGGGGATAGAGTTGGGAAGTGGCCGAGAGTGTTTGTGTGTGCGCGTGTGTGCACGCGTGCGTGAGCGTGTGTGAAGGGTAGCACGTTCGGGGCCGTGTGTCACGTGAGGCACTATGGGAATGTCCGAGGTGTGTGTGCGCGCGCGCCCCGGAGCGTGTGTGCGCGTAGGAGAGGGGGCTCGGCGTGAGGTGTGAGTTGAGACGGTGGGGTCCGCGACCTCCCAAAGCCGGGCGGCAGGAGCCTGGAGTGCAGAGGGCTCAGGCCCGGGCCCCAACACCCCCCCACACCCCATTAAGTGCCAAGGAAACGCGTGTGACCGGGTTTGAGTAAGGAGTGTGTGCGCGTGTTTGTAGGGCTGGCCCCACCTTTAACCCCTTCCTCTCCAGGCGCATCCCCTCCCCCCTCAACTCCGCCAGCCGGCGCTCACCACACCCCCCCAGCCCCCCAGCCCGCCAGCTCGGGCCCAGCCCCGCCGGTGGGGGCTCTGTCCCCCGGGCCGCCCCGACAGACGCTCCCTTCCTCCGCATTCTCCCCCACCACCGCCCCGCCCCGGCCCGGCGGCCCCGGGTGAGAGCCGCGGAAGGCGGATGGGGAGGGGGGTGCCTCCTCGGCCCCGGGCCCCTACTGCGGCCCCTTTAAGAGCCGCCCTTTAAGCCCCTTTAGCTCGGCCGACAGAAATTGTCGCCCCTCCCCTCTCGGGGGCCGAGACCACGCAGCCCCCTCCCCCACCGCTGGCCAAGCCCCGGGCCCCGAGTCGGCCGTCCCCGGACCGGAGAAGGGGGCTCCGGAGGCGCTGCGGCCTGAGGAGCGGCGGCGGAGGGGGAAGGGGG